GAAAACCCAAACCCGAGAGCAGGGGCCACTCCCACCGAAATTCCTTCACTAGGAGGGAAAACCCAAACCCCGAGGCCACCCCCGGCCCCTCCCCAGCCCCTCCCAGCCCCCCGGCCGTACCAATGAAGCCGTAGCCTTTGTGCTTGCCCGTGGTGGGGTCCCGGGCCAGGGTGCACGATTTGATTTTGCCGAAGGCCTCGAAGACGCTCTTGATGTCGTCGTCGGACAGGTCCTGGTGCACCGAGGCCACGTAGATGCGGTTGAAGGCCCGGGCCTCCTCTGCCAGCTGGTCAATGATGGGCTGGGCCTGCCCGATGTTACTGGGCCTCCCCACCTGGGGACAGCGAGGGAAACGGGCTGGGAGGGGCTGGAGAACCCCCGGGGGAAATGGGGAAGGGCTGGAGAATCCCTGAGGGAAATGGGGAAGGGCTGGAGAATCCCTGAGGGAAATGGGGAAGGGACTGGAGAATCCCTGAGGGAGCTGGGAAGGGGCTGGAGAATCCCTGAGGGAAATGGGGAAGGGGATGGAGAATCCCTGGGGGAGCTGGGGGGGCTCAGCCTGGAGAAAAGGAGGCTCAGGGGGGCCCTTGTGGCTCTGCACAAGTCCCTGACAGGAGGGGAGGGAACGGCCCCAGGCTGGGCCAGGGGAGCTCAGGGTGGAATCAGCAGGAATTTCCCCATGGAAAGGGGGGTCAGGGAGGGTTGGAGTGGCCAGGGAATGTCTGGAGGTGGCACTCAGTGGGGATGGCTCCCGGCCGGGACTCGGTGAGCTGGGAGGGATTTTTCCCGAGGAACAGCTCGGTTTTTGTGTGACATGGACAGGGCCCTGCTGCCTGTGCTCAGCTCACAGAACAGCCCAGAACCGCCTGCACTGGGATCCTGGGCTCTGCTCCCTCCTCCCTCTACCTGTGCCTTTTCCCATCCCTCACCTGCCAAACAATTCCAGGCACTGAGGAGGGCTCTGGAAGCAAATCCCAGCGTTCCTGCCCCTTTCCTTCAGGGCTCCTAAACCCCCTGGGCCTCTGCACACACTCAGGGTGTTTCAGAGGCAGCACAGCAGGTACAAAGGATCAGCTTGGCTTTGTGTTCCAGAGAATTCCAGGTGTGCGTGGGAAAACCTGAGGGGTCTCCCTGGAGGCAAACCCAGGTGGGACTTGGGGGTTTCTCCTCAGAGAGGAGGGACCAGAACCACAGCTGGGACTGGGACTGGGGTTCCAGCTGTGACCCTACAGCTGGGACTGGGATTCCAGCTGTGACCCCACAGCTGGGACTGGGATTCCAGCTGTGACCCCACTGCTCTGACCACGATTCCAGCTGTGATCTCACTGCTCTGACCACGATTCCAGCTGTGACCCCACTGCTCAGACCACGATTCCAGCTGTGACCCCATGTGTGCTCTATTTTGGACATCAAGGCCCAGCAGGGAGCAGCCTTTGGCTCCCTGCCCCTCACTGGGCTGTGGGGAACATTCCCAGCCATGAAACCATCATTCCCAGGCAAAGAGAAGCAGGAATTTTCCTGCCACTCACCTTGATGTTCCTTCCCCCCAGCATGACCGAGTTCATCTGCTCCAGGGCCAGCTGTGCAGCCTCAGGAACCTCGTACTCCACAAAGGCAAAGCCCTGGCAGGGGAGGAGAAATTCCTGTCAGTGCCTCCAGCTGTGCCAGCACCACACAGCCAAGGCTTCCCAGGGACCTGGTGGGATGGATTCCCACCACACTGACTGCTGCTCAAGGAGGTTCCTTAGAGAGGCATTTTATTTCTGTATTATTCTGTATTATTTTGTATTATTTTGTATTATTTCTGATGGCAGGAAATGTCTGCAGAGGTTCCCCCAAGGGCAACGATTCTGATTCCCAGACTCTGAGGTCCCACAGAAAACCCTCCTGAAAAGACTCCAGAAAACCCCAGCTAAGGGCTGCTGCCCTGTCAGCCCTTCAGCAGAGCCTCAGGCTGCCTGGAGCAGGGATTTCTCCAGGGAAAGGCTGCTCAGGCACTGGCAGGGAGGTGTGGATGCCCATCCCTGGAGGTGTGCAGGCAATGACTGAATGCGGCACTCAGGGCTCTCTTTTCCAACCCCAGCCATCCTGGGATTCCAGGCCTGGCTCCCAGCACAGAGTGAGGGAGCTGCAAACGTTCACCCCCAGGGCTGAAGGAGCCTGCTCTGCACAGGGACAGAGGCCCTTTCCTCTCCTGGCTGCCCCTGGGGGGAGGAGGATGTTCCCTGAGGGCTGGGGGATCACAGAACCATGCAAAGCTTTGGGCTGTAGGGACCTTAGAGCCCACACAGTTCCACACCTTCCCCTATCCCAGGCTGCTCCAAACCCCATCCAGCCTCACTTCGACACTTCCAGGGATGGGGCAGCCACAGATTCTCTGTGCCAGGGCCTCAGCACCCTCACAGGGGAGAATTCCTTCCCATTATCCCACCCAGAATTCTGCAAAGCTGCTCATTTTGTGAATAGGACACATGGCTGAAAGAAATGTCCTTGCAGAATGCCTCATCACCAGGGCACCTGCAGCTTTCACTGCCCCCAAGGAATTCCACCCCTTCCCAGGAGAATGCAGCTGCTCTCTGCCACATCCAGGCAATCCCACGCTGGTTTGGGTGGCACAGGATCCTAAATCTCACCCAGTTCCAGTCCCACCAGGCAGAGAACCTCCCCCCAGGCTGGAAGCCCAGTCCCACCTTGAGATCCAGGCAATCCCACACTGGTTTGGGTGGCACAGGATCCTAAACCTCACCCAGTTCCACCTTGAGATGCCACACTGGTTTGGGTAGCACAGGACCCCAAACCCCACCCGGTCCCCCACTGTGATCCAGGCAATCCCACAGGGGTTTGGGTGACACAGGATCCTAAACCTCGCCCAGTTCCACACTGAGATCCAGGCAATCCCACAAGGGTTTGGGTGGGACAGGATCCTAAATCTCACCTGGTTCCACCCCTCACATTCAGTCCCACCCCTCCCAGCAGCCTGGCAGCCCCATCCCTTGTGATCCCAGGCAATCCCAGACTGGTTTGGGTGGCACAGGACCCCAAACCCCACCCGGTCCCCCACTGTGATCCAGGCAATCCCACAGGGGTTTGGGTGACACAAGATACTAAACCTCGCCCAGTTCCACATTGAGATCCAGGCAATCCCAGACTGGTTTGGGTGGGACAGGACCCTAAACTCCACCCGGTCCCCCATTGTGATCCCAGACTGGTTTGGGTAGCACAGGACCCCAAACCCCACCCGGTCCCCCACTGTGATCCCAGACTGGTTTGGGTGGCACAGGACCCCAAACCCCACCCGGTCCCGCCCTCCCATCGGGTCCCAGCCGTCCGGCAGCCCCTCCCCACCTTGTGCTTCATGGTGACCGAGTCCCAGGACATGTCGATGCTCTTGATGGGCCCGAAGGGGGCGAACGCCTGGCGGATCGTGTCCTCGCCCAGCTCGTAGTAGATGGAGCCCACGTAGACCCGGCACATGATGGCGAGTGCCCGCTGCCTCTGAGCCGCCATCTGTAGCGAGACAAGGACTGGCCGCTCAGTGCCGGGCTGGCCGTGCCCAGCGGGGCCTCCTCCCCTGCTGCTGCCCTCCCGAGCCAGCCCTGGCACAGCCCTGGCACGGCCCTGGCACGGCCCGGCTCACAGGGAGTTCCCTGCCGGCTGCGCTGGCCGCTGGAGCGGAGCTCACGCCCGGACAAAGCCCGGCTTATCCTGGGGCACAGGCAGGGCTTTGGGGCTCCCCAGGATCTGCCCACGTCTGAGCTCATCTCCAGGAGCACCCGCAGCACGGGGGAATCCCTTGGCGCTGGGGCAGCTTCCCCCTGCAGGCAGCGAGGGGGCACGGGGAGAATCCAATGGAATCCAAGCCCTCCCGCTGCCCCCCGGGAGCCGGGATCAGCCCGGGGCACTGCCACCCACCCAGCCTGGAAAGGCTCTGCAACGGGGAAACTGGGACAGCTGGGACAACTGGGACAGCCGGGACAACTGGGAAAATTATGAAAGCTGGGACAACTGGGGAAACGGGGAAACCTGGGACGACTGGGACAGCTGGGACAACTGAGAAACCTGGGACACAAGCTGGGAAAATGGGGAACCTCCCCCCGCTCCCTGAGAGCCTCCCCCAGCCCCAGCAGTCCGGGATCCAGCACTGGGCCCCAGTCCCAGAGCCCAAGAGCAAAGCCGAACTCCCCCATGGCCCTGGTGGGAAGTGGGGCTGGTGCCAGCACCCGTCCCTGCCTGCTGGACTGGTGTACTGGTGGACTGGTGTACTGGCTGGACTGGCTGGACTGGTGCAGCCCCAGCCATGGCCGTGTGCCCCAAACCTGCCTGCAGAGCTGTCCTCAGACAAACCCAGCCATTCCCTACAGGAGAGATCCCAAAAGCAGAGCACAGGGTGTCCCTCGTGTTTGCCACACGTGGCCTGGGGGTTTGGGGTCACTGCCTGCACGGAGGGGAGGGCTCTGGGGCAGGTGGGACACACCTGGGGCAGCAGGTGATGCCTCTGAGCCCTGCCCAGCACCACAGCAGGAGCTCTGAGCACCCCCAGGGCACAGGGGCTGCAAGCAGGGCCTTCAGGAGATCATTCCTGGGGTGCCCCAAGGAGCTCTGCCATGCCTGGGGACCCCTGGGGCAGAAGGAAAACACTCAGGGCCTTTTCAAAGCTGATTTTTGGGGTGCCCCAAGGAGCTCTGCCATGCCTGGGGACCCCTGGGGCACAGGGAAAGCGCTCAGGGCCTTCTCAAAACTGATTTTTGGGGCGCCCTAAGGAGCACAGGAGCTGTGCCATGCCTGGGGATGCTGACAGGCACAGCAGCAAGGACACAGCCTGGAGCCAAGGAACTCCTGCTGCACCTGGAACTGCCACTGGCCACAGCAGGGAACAGCCTGGGAGGGTTTAACTCCTGCCACTCCATAGAGGACGCTGCAAACAGGGACAGCTGCCACCCCAGACTCTGCCCCTGAGGTGACATCCAGCTCCAATTGCTGCTCCTGAGGTGACACTGAGCCCCAAGTGCTGCTCCTGAGGTGACATCAAACCCTAACTCATACTCCTGAGGTGACATTAAACCCTAGCTGCCACTCATTAAACCCCAGCTGCTGCCCCTGAGGTGACATCCAGCTTGCCCTTGCCTGGCTTTAGGGTACCCAGGGCTGTCCATGGCTCTCTTTGCTGTGCCTGGCTGGGCTCCCAGCTGCTCCCAGCCCATTCCCAGGTGGGTGCAGGGAAGCCCCCCCAGCCTGCAGTGCATCCACTGAGGGGGCAGGGCCAGCAGCAGTGTCACCCTGGCTGTCCCCTGCAGCAGGAAATGCCCACCTTGCCCTGCCACAGGAGCCCACAAGAGAGGAGGGCACTGAGGAACACTCAGCACCTTCACACAGCAAAATTCCTTCCTGGAAAAGGGCAAGGGGCTGCCCAGGGAACACTCAGAGCTCTGGGCTGGTGACACCGTGGGCATCAGGGACAGGGTGGGACTCGATGACCCTGGGGGTCTTTAACGGCCTGGATGACCCTGAACATCCCTGAAGGGGATCCTGACCCTGAAGGAATGGGATTTTGAGCCTGAACATCCCTGAAGGGGATCCTGACCCTGAAGGAATGGGATTTTGAGCCTGAACAGCCCTGAAGGGGATCCTGACCCTGAAGGAATGGGATTTTGAGCCTGAACAGCCCTGAAGGAACGGGATTTTGGAGCTGCAGAAGGCAGAGCTGGGATGGCTCTGTGCTGTCTGTGGGTCACCAACAGGAGCATCCAGGTGGGGGATGTGCCCTGGGCACCCTCCTGCCTGCTCATCTCACTGCTCTCAGTAGCCCCTGGCTGATTTCACTGGCCCTGGGCCTCCTTCTCCTCCTGGCACATGGAAAAGCACCTGAAGCCTCAGGCAGCAGCAGCAGCAGCAGCCCCCAGCTGTGGCTGTGCAATCCTAAAGGGGTTTGGGGGTTATTTTAAGGCCCCCAAAAGCCCACCCCGGGGTGCTCTTGTGATCAAAGCAGGTGAAGCACAGCCCTCAGCACGAGCACCACGACACAGTGACAGCAGGGGACGGGGAGGGGACCTGGGAACCCCACCCTGAGACACCTGGGGGAGGGCTGAGCCCAGGGGAGAGCTCAGGGGGTCCAGGCTGTGCTGCCTGCACAGAGGAGCAGGAACAGTGCTGGACAGGGGCTGTTTGCACTCTGTGCATTGCCAATGTGCCAAGGTTGGGATCTCCTGACTGCTCTGGCCTGGAGCAGGCTCCTGTGACTCCTGAGGGAGGAATGGCTGAGGAAAAAGGGGTCACAGCCCCGTGCCCTGGGGGTCATGAGCCACTGAAATTCCCTGTGCCACCAACTCAGCTGGGGAGACTGAGCCCAAAGCAGCTCAGGCCAAACTGCTGGAGCTGCACTGTCAGGCAGCAGCTCCAGGGATGGGGGGAGTTCAGGGCGTCCATCTCTGCCAAATGCACACCAAGATTTGCTCTGTTCCATTCCAAACTTCCCCTGGCCCACGGGAGGGACGCCGGGCACTTCACTTCAGTGCACCCTTCTCCTCGGGGTCCAAAGCTGTGTCTGTGCTTTAGAGCAGGCACAGATCTCACATCCCAGCGAGACACAGAGGCAATTACAAGTGCACAGATGAGTTCCCAAATGAAGCCCTGGGTGCAGAGAGCAGTCAGCCACAGGACACGGTGCCCAGCACTCCCAGACAAAGGAGGGGACGGATCGTGCCAAGTCACCCAGCCCTCTGTGGCCCCTGCCAGAAGGGGCACAAAGGCTCCCAGAGTTCTGTGCTCGGTCCTGTCCCTTGCACGCTGCTTTGGCTGCACTCGGGAGGTGCCTCAGCGCCCTGGTGTGGGCCGTGCCCAGCGAGGGGAGTGTGAGCTGGGCTCCAGCACCTCTGCCAACCTCCAGCACCCCGGCCCGCCCCGGCAGCGCCGCCTGTGGCTGCTGGGAGCTCGATGCACCGGCAGTCATCGCCCCTTGGTGAGTTACCTTGGCCGTTAGTTTGAGGTCGGGACCTCAGAACTGCAGCATCCCTAGAAATGCAGCTCCCACAATTTCACGGGCTGTGTTCACAACTGGTGCAAAGCTAAAGCTGTCTTTGCCCCCTAGTGGCAGTGTCCCCGCAGACTGCACAGCCTGGGGTCTTCTCGGGGCAGTGCCAGCTCGCTCTGCTCCTGGGCGTGTCCAGTACAGGTGGGGATGTGGGAGGGCTGTGCAAGAGCATTGGCACCACTAGGAACGTCCCCACGCTAGGCCCTGACTAAGACAAGTGCCCCAGAAGAAGTGAATATGTCTATTGACCGATTGTAAAGGTGAGAGAGGATCTCCAAAGCCCATTGTCACTGCTGCCATCTGAAAGACAGTAAAGACAGAGTTCAGTCTGTTGGAGCTGAGCATACTACGGCTGTTTGTACAAACTCAAGCAGGGCGGCCTGAGGCACAGGGGCCTCTCCTTCCTCGGCCCTCAGGACACCTGGACCTGTCCAGGACCCTGCCCAGTGCGCTCCCACCAGGCCAGGCTGGGCTCCTGCTGCTGCCTTGGGAAGCAGGGTGGGATCCCGGGGGGGACTCAAGGCAACAGTGACCTCTGTGACCGCCGGCGCTGCTTCGCCCCCAGCCATTTACAGGAGCCCCTCAACTAGAGCAGACCCTCAGAAGCAGGCACAGCCCCAGCCTCAGCACATCCACAGGGACTCCTCAGGCCAAGCCCTCCGTTTGGGGCCTCCTCACTTGCAGGAAAGGCAGTGAGATGTTCCAGAAAGCTCTGAAGGAGGGCAGGGCGAACCCCAGTTAAGGGCTCTCCCAGGAGGGGCGGGAAGAGCCGAGAGAACAACTCCAAAACGGAGAGCCCCGGGGTGCAGGGGAGGGAAATGGGGCAGCACTGGGACACAGGCAGAGGAGATGGGGACAGGACACTGCTCCCAGGATCCCTTCTGCCTTCAGCACCTCAAACACGGCTCGGAAGCAAAACCCACGGCAAAGTCTTGGGCTCCTCGCATCTCAGGGAGGGACGAGCAAGGCTTGAGCAATTTGAACCCATTTCCTCTGGCAACTGGAGAGACGTGAGGGCAATTTGTGAGGTGAGTGGGGCAGCCTGGGGGAGCTGCAGGCTCAGGGCTGTGCTCTGCTTCCTGGGCCCCGAGATCTGCACCGTGAGGGGGGGAGCACGGGGCAGGGGGGCTGCCGGGGGGGGGCTCACCTGCAGGTTGGTGAGCTGCTGCTGCTGGTGGGCGATGGTTTGTTTGACCAGCACGCTCTTGATGCTCTGCTCCATGGCATACTTCTTGGCCTGCAAGGAAAACAGGGGCTCTGGGGGCAG